CGAGAACATTAACCGGCGGAACTTATACCTGATACACTACATTGGAGCTTGGAAAATGGGCACACCTGTTGCTCATCGCGCCATTATCTGCCAAGACTTCATGGCCATTATTATAACGGAGATCTCTGATAACCTTCTTCTCTCAGTCTTGAGGAGATATACCTAGTACATATACTGGGGCTCGGAAAATGGGCACATATCCTACTCATCGCACCATTATCCGCAATACCGTGGCCAAAATCATCACAATATGACTCTTCGATAACTCCTCCTTTCGAACCTGGGAATATATGTCCTGAACTGTGATTATGAAGGGGCAAAAACTCGCTTTATTGAAGTCCACCCAAAGATTACCTACAGAATTGCTCGTGGTATCGAATGTGACTATCTTTATCAGGACTCTTTCACTGCCTTTATGGGAGAGGAAACTTTGCTACATCTAGCCAATGCGGGCAACGCACCCAGACTCTAATAGTCAAAGACAACAATCCACAGCCGACTTCAAGAGCTTTCAAATGACAAAGATCATCAACAAATAGAGTATACAAGCTAATGCTTCGTGGACCGCATTCTTGAAGGTGTCATATAATTGACAGACTCAGAAATGCATTGGCTCTTGCAACTGCTAACTACAATGGATATCTCCCTTCACATTACGAATTGTGCCGAGCATTATCCATTGATGTCAATCTTGATCTCCTCGCTGAAGCTATACGTACGAGGGCACATCATGGCCACTTCGAATTATATTAGAACTCAGAAAAATGGCACATATTTTGCTCATCGCGACGTTATCTGCCAATGCCAGGGCCGAAACGACAATGGCTCCGATAACCTTTTCGTTACTGCTTCTTAACAGCAAAAACGGAAAGCAAGAAGCCCACCACGACATCATCATAACTGATACTACAAAGAGAGAATTATCAGACAGACTTGCTACTGGTAATCAAAAGAAGCAAATTGTTAGCATGTATACATGACCGATTCATTACGATTATATTGTCATGATTGCAAGGCCTATCTCCCACTCACTAATGGCCTGTTTAGTATATGGACATGGACGGAATAGCAAAGTTGTGGCCATGGCGTGAGCTGAGAAGAACAAATGATTTTTCTTCTTTTCATTTTTTTTCGGCTTCTTAGTAAGTCAAAGAGGAAAGAGAAAATCTACGGCCGACTCGCTCATTACTACTACACGTGATGATTCAGTCGACAGAAGAGATACAGTTGGATCAACATTACCAGTTCATCATCAAGCTCAACATTTACTTCCCATTAAATGGTCTGGTTAATGGCACTATGTGGACGCTAAAGACACTCGTTAAGTATCAGCGCCATGATTTGGATCAATCGATCGTTGTCCGTCTTCTTGTAACCAGTATTAGTTCGCAACAGCAGAGCAAGAATTACCCGACGAGTGATCTTGAGGATCTTCTGGTGAAGCCAGACACTAGATATTTTGCTAGTACTGCCATTCCGTCATGCTTCTAGCATCTACTTCCCATGATTCAATGGTCTTTATAAATACTATCCACTGAGATAACGACGAAGTCGCCAAGTATCCGGCAGAAACAGACCAAGGAACAACTGACGATTGTCTGCCTTCTCAGTTATATTACTGCTTCTTACAAGACAGCAAAAGAAAGAGAAGAATGGCACATGGGATCAATCATTACTACAAATACGAGTCCATGGGCACCTCCTTTGCCAAGGGCGACAAGAGCTGGGGTCAGCTGATGGTTGTCCTTAATATTATTATCACTACTGGTGCCTACCAGAAGGAAAAGAGAAAAGAAGGCGATGAATCGCTCATATTCGAAACTACTACTCCACGCAATCATTTGAACTCTAACATATCATGATCTTGATGCAAGATTTACTTGCCATTACAACAGGGATGATCTAGCTAGTATCCCCTGAGATACTAACAATATCACAACCAAACTCAACGATCCAGCCAACAAGGTGTTGCGATCAACTAGTGACTGTCCTCATAATATTATTCAAGAAAGCAGTCGCTCTCACAATAACTGCTTCCCGGCCATGAAACCGATGGCAGGAAATAACAAGCGATGATCCGATCGACGAAATAAAATATAATCGCGTCGCTATTACTATGCTGTCATGCACTCCATGATCCCATCGTCTACTTCCTTTGCAATACTAAGGGTAGTTAGTCAAGGATCCTATCAACAACATCTGATCATCGGGTCATGATCTCTGGAAGATGCGAAGGGTTTGTTATCGCTCATTATACTATCTGGATCCAGAGAATGGCTGTCTTATCTTTTAACATTGCTCGATAAAAGCAACGAAAAGGAAAAGAAGGGGTCACATTGAGCTACTTGCCCATTAGCAGGCTAGGTGGCTTGTCTTATTGGCCCGCGGGTGCGGTCACAATAATCATCTCTCTGACATTTCCTTCGTGGTGGGGATGGAGAAGATGACGACGACCATGGTGCCCCGGAATCTAACTTTATATCTTTGCCTTCTTTCTTCTATACTGAAATCGAAGATGATATCTACAATGGCATCTGGGATTTTATCTCTATCTCCCTGGTCTTTCCCATGATGAAGAAAATGACCACGATAGCGTCTGGAGTTTTATTCTTCATATCTGCTGGTCCTCCTTCAATCGTGGAAACAGAGACGACGTTTGGAGGGTTGGATTACTATCATTGACCTCTCTTACCTTTCCTTTCCGGTACCAATGATAGAGGCAATTATAACAACGAAGTCTGGGGCCGCCTTCTCAATATCTCCGAAAACTTCTCTGATGAAGAAGAAGATGATGACCGCGCTGGTGCCTCGGCAACCCTCGAACCCTCATATCTTTGTCTTTGCTTTTCTATAATGAAATCGAAGATGATATCTACAATGGCATCAGGAACTTTTTATTTTTATCTCTCTTGTCTCTCCCTCTCGGAAATGAGGATATAGAAGAGGATAAATCCCGATAAAGGTTTCGGAACCGCGATATAATAACCGATAGCGGTGACTACCAGCGTAGCGGGTCACTTGCGGGATAAGAAAGGGGACTTGGCGAAGAAGTGTGCACTCTCGTCTGTTTAACCTTCGCCCCGGATCAACTTGGACGGTTCACACTCTGATATTCCTATCCTTCACTCATTACGGAGAATAAAGAAGAAGAACAGGAGGAAGACATCTATGCCGGCGCCTGGTGTTTCATTCTCGATATCTCTCTTCCTTATTCTTTCAAAGGCGATGATGAAGACAACTTCTTCTATGGTGTCTGGGATCTTATAAAGTTTAAATATCTCTATGACATCCTCCTCAATGAACGGGATGAAGAAGACGATCTATACGAAGATATCGGGGGTCTTCTCTTGCATATCTTGGTCCTTTGATCCATGATGAGAACAGAAATGACCCCTTTGATGGGTGTGTAGGGATTCATTTCTAATTTCTCTGGCTCTCCTTCATAAAGAAGAAGAAGGGGAAGATATATCTGTCGCCGCCTGGTGTTTCACACCGATATCTCTCTATCTTATTCTTCAATGGCGAAGATGACGGATACTACCATGATGGTAGTACCTGCGATATATCTTTGATATCTTCTCCTCCTCTTCGATAACAAAGTTGAAGGAGACAGTTGCTACGAAGATACCTGGGGTTCGATATATTATCTCTCCATCCTTCGCTCAATGGTAAAAAACGGCAGTGACCTGTTTGATGCCGTGTCGGTGTCTTATCTTCTATATCCCTCGTCTTCCTTCTCTATAGTGACGACGAAGATGATGACGATCACGATGGCGTCTGGGGGTTTATTATCAACATCTCCGGCCTTCGTTCGATGATAAGAACGCCAGTGACCACCTATTCAATGGTGTATGTCCCTTTTATCTTTAATATCGTGTGCTTTTCCGTTCTATGGCAAATACGAAGAAGATAACGACCACGATGGCGTCAGGGCTTTTATATTCGACGTAACTGGTCTTTCTATCCCTGATGATGAGGAAGAAAGTGTCTTATCGACGGTGCCTGGGCCCTTCTACTTATTAATATCGGCACTTCTGGCACCTATATCGAAGATGAAAGACAAAAGATGATGACCACGGCGGCTGTCCCGGTTTACATTTTCCATCTATACTCCTAGTCTTTCTTCCAAGAAAAAGGACAAGGAATAAGGAAGAGGGTGACGATGGCATCCCTAATAATAACATCATCTTCGACAATCGTTCTCTCCTCTTCCCAGCTATAAGGGAAGACGAAGATGATTACTATGCTCCCGTCTGGGAATCTTCATATTTCTCTACCTCTTCTACCTTTTTCCATTGAACAGAGGGGCAGATAAACACAATGACGATGTCGGGTCTGGTGCTTCACATTCTTACTATATATCTCTCTCTGACATGTTCTTCGACACCGAATCCTTTCACGAAATATACACAACGGTGTCCCGGGATTATACTTACTTGCCATCGACATCCTCCGATATCTCATTTTATTAAGAGGATAGAGACGAGGATGACTGGGCTTCTTGTGGCCCAAAGAAGGACTGGCCTTGGTCCCCTTATGATATATATCGAAGAGTAAAAAGGCGCTCTTGAGCTAGTATCTAGATAACGATCAGTCATCGTCGCTACATACTAATCACTTTACTGGCACTATGCCTCTTCTCTCCCTCTGGTGCAGTTATGGGTCTCTTATGAAGAACGGCAGTAAGTCAGTCGATGGCATCAGGTGAAGGAGGCAGGCGCCGATCATGTGATACCACCGGAATCTGAAGTCATGGTTTCGATTGAATGATGTTGATGGTGGTGCGGCTTAAAAGTGTCTTGAAACTTCGTACTCTATTGCTGCCGTTTACATTAGATTATAGTATTACTTATATTACAATGGCAATTGGTAATGGCATATGATAATCATAATTCGTATCTACCCAAACGAATTTTTCAGGTCATCAATTTTACACATGGGAATAATAGTAAAAGAAAAAGGTCATCACAAAAATGCACACATCAGATCAGTCTCCCAATCTATGCCTGGATCTTCTGCTTCAGGATGTCCTTGAGGGTGACGGCGTCAGCGGCGAACTTGGAGATACCCTCACGCAACTTCTCGACGGCCATGGCCTCCTCGTTGAAGTCGAAGCGGAAGAGAGCCTCGTCGTTGATGTAGGTCTTCTTGGGGATGTCGAGGCCGGCGGCGTTGGCGGCGTCGAGCTTCTTGGGGACGGCAGCGGTGGAGTTGAAGAGGTCCTCGAGGAGGTTGGGCTAGATCATGTTAATTTATGTACCAGATATAGAAAACAATGGAGAACTTACGGAGATGGTCAGGTAGTCACAGCCAGCCAGCTCGGTGATCTCACCGGTGTTACGGAAAGAGGCACCCATGACAATGGTCTTGTAGCCGTGCTTCTTGTAGTAGTTGAAGATGCTCTGGACGGACTTGACACCGGGGTCCTCCTCGGCGGTGTAGTCACGCTTGTGAGCGGCCTTGTACCAGTCGAGGATACGGCCGACGAAGGGAGAGATGAGGTAGGCACCGGCCTCAGCGGCAGCGATGGCCTGGACGGTGGAGAACATGAGGGTCAGGTTGCAGTTGATGCCGTGCTGGGACTGGAGGACCTGAGCGGCCTTAATACCCTCCCAGGTGGAGGCGATCTTGATGAGGATGCGGTCGCGGGAGATGCCGTTCTCCTCGTAGAGCTGTGGCACTTCGTTAGTAACTCGCCTTTACAAGTAATACATTGATGACATACCTTGATGATGTGGAGGGCCTTGTCAATGGAGGCCTGGGTGTCGAAAGAGAAGCGGGCATCGACCTCAGTGGAGACCTTGCCGGGGATGATCTCGAGGATCTTCTTGCCGAACTCGACAAGCAGACGGTCGAGGGTGGCATCGACCTGCTCGTCGAGAGTCTTGCCCTCAGCCTTACCCTTGGCGACGGCGGCATCGATGAGGCTGGCGTACTCGGGCTTCTTGGAGGCGGCGAGGATCAGGGAGGGGTTGGTGGTGGCATCCTGAGGCTTGTACTTGCCAATGGTGGCGAAGTCACCGGAGTCGCAGACGACGACCTGAATTGATGAGAAGATGGATGATTAGCGATGTTGTGAAGATGACACGGCGATGTCGGCAAAGCAATAGAATGACTTACGGTGCCGGTGGCCTTGAGCTGCTCGAGAGAAGAAGACATGGTGGAGGTTTGGAGGATAAAAGGATGAAAGGTGATGAAAGTAAGATGAGATGGGGGAGAGGGGTATAAAAAGATTGGACAGATAGTATGAAGAAGGAAGGAAGAGAAGAGGAAGAAGAAGGTAAGAAGCGGAAGAAACGGAGAGTGAAATAAGAAGGGGAACGGAGAACGTGGCGACGAAGCCGGAGCAACCAAGCAGAGAGCAGCAGCAGCAACGAGAGGCCCGTCAGAGTGAGGAGGGGTTGCTCTTTCCTTACCAAAATGTTATGGTGGGGCAAAGCTGGGCAAGAAGGGCCGATGACGCTATGCCTTTCCTTTCCTTTCCTTCCCTTCCCTTCCCTCCCTTCTGGTACTTTTCGCCTCAACAATAATTACCGAGTATTATCATAGCATTACCCAGCAATATCTATCTATGGTACATCCTTTCCTTTCCCTCCCATCTCTTCCATTCACATCAATTCAATTTTCTTCCCTTCCATTCGCAATATACATCCTCTCATTCTGATTGATCAACCAATAATCCATATTATTCCCTTTCCTTACTACCTCTCTCTCTTTCCATCAGCTTCTCTCTCATTCATACATACATACAAACAGAGAGAGAGCACGGGCTGGTCGGCGCAGAGTGCTCCGGCAACCGACCAGCAATCCCCGGTCCACACTGCTCCTCTTTTCCCACTCCTTTTCCCTCACCGGAGCTTGTCCACACACCCCTCCTTCCGTGGTGTTCCCTTTATTCCCTCTGGAGCACAGCAGTCCTTCCGGTGGAGATCCCCCTCCTCCCAGCCAGCATCATCGGCCTTGTCAGCGAACCGTGTTCAATACTAAGTTACGGAAATAGGGTCGCGTCTCGAATGCCTTCTTCTCCTTACGGCTTGGCCTCTTCTTTATCCCACCACCCCCCGGAGGCATTTGACTAAAGTAGGTAACGGTTCTAAAACAGTAGCTCGGTTCTCCCCCACGGTCAACTATTCTAGCTCCGCGGCCCTTTTGCTACGACAACAATTACAATTGGAGTCGCTCGCACCCCTCCAGCGCGTTCTTTCCGTCTTCAGTATGAGACAGGCAGCATAATGACAAGAGAGATATGTTTACGGGATTGGAATACTCGGCGCATACAATATCGGTAGACAAGATCATCAGACATGCCCGGAGGTTTGGTGGGGCACCGACCTGGGAAAGAGACGAGGTCCATCCCACGATGACCTCCTTCTCCGTGGACTCGATCCGAGGCCCTCCGCGGAGTCCACTTTTTCCCCAGTGGTAGACAGATCACAGTAAAGTAGTTGACAACAACGGCCCTCCTCACCGGCGCTGGACACAGCTCCATTCGTACTAGATACCCCGTCAGCATATGCGATCTAACCCTTGGCCCCAAAATGTCAGCCACACTTACCACTCGTCCCAGTTCATCGCCAGTATACACCACGTGCGGCTGGGCCATGATGCAACTAATCCCCGCTGAGATATTGGCTCCATTGTCGCGGTGACTGTCCACATGGTGCAGTTGCCTGATCAACTCCAACTCAAATCGCCCGTGATGGATGATCTTGCTCCAAATCTGTAATCCATCAGCATCAGCACCTGAAACCCGTGGCTGTAACATAGAGCTCTTACATTTACGACGCCTCTTCGGTGTCCAGTGAACAGCAGCTCGCGCTCCTGCCACTCATTGTTCACCCCTTCGTAGAAGACACACGTCATAATCGAGTCGTCCACTGAATCGCACAGGATCTGTTCCAGGAGCAGTGACCCGTTGAGCGTGTAGAGGCTGACTCGGTCGCGTCGACAAATCATGATCTCTCCCGTCACATCGTTGATCCGAGCACACTGTACCTGCATTAGTATGTATACATGACGTGATGGAACAGTGTGGGAAACAAGCATGCTTACATCGACAGGCCCGCTGCCTGGCAGCTCCCGTACAAAGCATTGCCGATTGAGATCCCAAAGCATAATTTGCCCGTCCGTGGATGCCGACAGAAGCGTACTGAATGACCGTGACACCGCAAGCGTAGTCACCGGGGAGCGGTGTCCAAATAGTGACCCCGTGGGCTGTAGATCAACAGACTTGATGGATGAGGTGAAGGTCCAGATCGACACCGTACAGTCGGCGCCGGCGGTTACCAACGTTCGAGAATCTGCGAAGATCGCACAGGACAGTTGGCCGATATGAAGATGCTCAAAGTGACCCAGTAGCTAGAGGCTTGTTAGCTGCTGTACTTCTGACAGGACATTCCAAAATCCAATGACTAGACTCTCGTACCCGTCGGCTATCCGCAGAGTAGAATCTGACACTGCCGTCAAAGAATCCCCACTCCATATACTTGTCGTAGCTAGGGGGAATGTTGAGTCGCAAGGCAGCGGCACACAGCAGACGGTCTTGTTTCATCGATAAGGTGGCCACTCGTTCGCCAATATCTATTCCCACATTAGTCAACACGGAATTATTCATATCATGGTTAGATGCTCACCCAGAAGCGCAAGGGGCTGTTGTGTCAGCGATTCGGCAAGCCGATCCAGTCGGGGCGTTCGATGTCCGGGGTCTTCGCGTTGCAAGTGAGGCCGATTGAAGATTTGATGCGGTGTCTGCCCAAAGTTGTGAATAATACCGATCGTGGCAAGGCGTTCCACGGGGTCATCAATAGAGTCGATGTCCTTGGCACCTTGGTAGGACAGATGATGAAAGACATTTACTGCCTCGACCGCGGCCTCTCCCTTTTGCTTGCTTCCAAATACCAAATCGATCCAATGGTGCAAGTTCTGGGTCACGTACGGACTCTCGAGCGCCTCCCGGTGTTTAGCAATGAAGATCATGGGATCGCCTTTGGCCCAGGGCGGTAATTCCACCGAGTCAATCACAGTCGTCATGTTCTGCAAGAGCCCGAAATCGTACTTATTCGAATTCACCAAAAACTCAGGGAGGTAAAAGAACTCGGGTATCAACTCCCGTACGTCCGACATATTGCCGCGTGACGCAGATTCCCACGCCTTTCCAACCGAGTAGAAGAGGCGGTCGGCATGATCAAACGTACCTCCCTGAAGGAGAAGGTAGGATTTGACAAAAGGCTGCAGTCGGATCAGGTATGAGCTCACGATCATCGCAGAAGAATAGTGCGTCCCGTAGTGGAATGGAGGAGCGTCGTCATCACCCATCTCGGCGAAAGCCTTATACCGTTCTCTAAACTCCGCCTCTCGCTCTGGCGTTTGGCAGCCCATGGGCTTGGACAAGTCACGGAACGTTTTAGGATCGTTCAGATCCAGTTCGTCACTTGTATAGTCGGCAAGCACCCATGGGAACACGGGATACTGAGTCAGGTCGTTGAACGTCCTCCCAGCAAGTGTGTTTATCAGCATGAGGTAGTGGAAGTTGGAGATTTCACCCTTGACCCATTTGCGCGTAGCTGGATAGAGCGGAGAGTGGCCGAAAACGCTGGCAAATTTTGACCCGAGAGATTGCGGTGCGTCGTCTTGACTGCGAAGGGTTTCAAACCTCCAAACATCCTCCGGACGCGCGTGACCAACACTGCCGGTCACTTGGGGAGCTTTCGTCGCGAGCTGACTGCATAGAATATCTCGGGCTCGCGACGAGATGAGTGTTAGCAAATAGCTACTCCCATCGGTGAAGAAGATCTCCAACGCCACATCACGGAAAAGGAAGCGCCTTTTGGAGATACTGATCAGATCAGACCATTTCCAACTTCTTGTTTCATGCTCCTGTGCTTTGCGCTCACTAGATTCTCGGCCGGCAATCATGCGAACGTAAGGATCGCGTTCGTCTGACGGAGCTTGCCATACGTTTACGATCTCGCCATCAGATCTCTGGAAGAAGTTATCCAGAATGTAGATATGATCCTTTCCTTGAATCAGAAGCCCCTCAAATGCCTCCAACCCAATGATACGAGACATGTTGCACACACCCTCAACCTGATCGCCACGATGGAGACTCCGCATGACTTTGCGGTTCTTGTCCTCGTAGTCTTCAAGATCAGCCTTCGGGTCTTCAATCATTTCGAAGCTATCCTCGAGCATACTCCGGCTATCTGGCGAAATGCCTTGCGAAGCACCCTCTCCAGCCTCATTATTGGCGACCGTAGGGGTCAACCCAAGGGTACCAGCACTGGATGAAGGTCGAACGTCGGTGTCAATTTTGATCACGGGAGGCTCAGATGCCTTCCGTTTCGGCTGGTAATTTTGCCTCTCATCCGTCTCATCGGGTACTATGCGAAGGCGCATACGGCTCCGTCCTTCTGTTTGATCCAAGCGCCACTTTCGCTCCTTATCCTCGGCCAGGAGACCGCCGAACCGTCGTAGGTCCAATGTAAGCTTTGAAAAGGTCGCCCACATGAAGACTGCATCATCTTGGTGGTCCTGGAGCGCCCTTTGGAACTTCAGAAACTCCGATCCTGATATGTTCGATGCCCAGTGGGGGAACGTTACGAGGTGCTTGCGTGTCACTTCGTCACCGAAGCTATCTATGTGCTTCCATTGCTTCAGCTTCTCCTGGCGTTTAGAAATTCGGTTACGCGACGAAGTCTCGATCTTGGAATTCTCTTCGTGAACGAAGTCTTCCCAATGCTTGGATATGACACCAAAGAATAAAGAGTGTAGGTCCTCTTCTCGATCGTTAAACCACCGTAAGAAAGCCGCATCATCCATACCCATTAGAGCTTCAAATCCAGCAGACAACCGCTTTTGTAGGGTTATTGACGCTTGACTAAGTATGGTAGCCATGTCGGCAGGTTTCTGTACTAGCAGAATTCGGAAGAGCCCTGCTGCAGCCAGGCGCACATTCTCGTCTCCGTCGTCTAGCTTGATGTACAAGAGGTAACATAGCAGCTGCAGGTGATTTGATTGAGCGTCACCAGAAAGGAGAATCACCTGCCAGTAGGACAGGCGGCTCAGGAACGAAAGAGCCTCCGTGCCTTCGACTTCCGATAGCCGAAGCAAGACGACGCGGAAAACAGTCGACCGAATTGTGGACACAGCTTGACTGCAGA